GGGGCAGCCCAAGGGGAGGCATTTCCCCAGCAGGGCTGTCCCTCCTGTCCCAGCACACCCTGAGGGCTCATCCTGCTCCTCTGCCAGAGCAGAGCCAGGCAAGCAGAGCAAATCTCACTGGGAGAACATCCCTGCACCACGGGGCTCCAGGGGTGGGGAGATTCCCCCCTGCAGAAGGGGGCTCACAAAGCCCAGCACTGCTGAGAGCGCTGTCCCAGCCTGCCCCAGTGCCCAGGACTGACACACGGCACAGCAAAGCTGGCATTTACTGAACAGGGATTTGCCCACGCCTCTCCACTGGGAATTCTGCCCTTTTTTATGCTTTCATTGCAAGAAACACAAAAATTTCTTTCAGTTGCCTGCATCACTATGTCCCCAGGTGATCATTTCAATGCCTTCCCCATCCTGCTGTCCCCTGACCCCAGAGATGTGGTGGGTCAGGCCATAACACACAGCCCTGCTGCACTTCCCAAACCCCAGGAGGCTCAGTGCTGAAAATCTGTACCTGCTTGGTCACAAGCCAGTCTAAATTTGGCTGTAAAGGTGAATTTTCAGGTCATGAACACATGAAGAGGAGCTGCAGCCCAGGAATGATCCCACCAGGAATGGCCACAATTTCTTTGTCACACAGGAGTGTCAGAGCAGCTCCTGTCACCACCACGTGCTGCCCGAGCCACATCCCTGCAGCACCCCAGAGCCAAACCCCACATCCTAACAGAGAAGCCTGGGAAAAAGACATTTCTAAAGACCCCAGCATATTGGTTTGTCCCTGAGTCCATGCTGTAGTTTCTCCTTACACAAGCACAGAAAAGAAAGCAAAATTCACCCCACCTGTCCCAGCAGAACCAGCTCAAGAGCTCCCTGCAAACCAGAACCTTCCCATTGGAAGCACCACACAGCGCATCACAAATACTGGGTGCAAAACAAATCCCCAACAAACCCCTACAAAAATCAACCCCTAAACAAGCTACAGAACACCCACACTGGGCTTTGAAATATCTACACATGCAAATGGGTGCACACACAGGAAGTTCTTAGTTCTTAAGCACCTTTCATTTGTTTTAAGATTCGAGGAGACAAAAAACTTCAGTGGAAAGGGATTTTCTTGCTCTGGCAGCACTGGGCAGGAGGCCTGGGACCAGGGCAGGCCTTGTGCTTGCTGCTGGGCAGGAGCAGAACCCTGCAGGTCTGCAAAGCACAGGTTGACCAGAGCACAGGGAGGGGAGGGTGACACTGGGGGTGACAGTGGCCTGGCAAGGGTTGGCAGGCGAGCGTGAGGTGTTAATACATGGCAAGAGTGCAAACAACAGAGGGGACTTGCAGGAGCTCATTTGCTGTGGTTTGTGCACTCTGCTGACTCAGCAGAGGCTCAGGGTCTGGATTAACCTGTTCATGAAAACATTATTAATAATTTATTAACATTTTATAAACATACTCTGGATATAAAGTGTGGTAATAGTCCTGCTTCATCTCCTGTGCTGGCTGGGCACAGAGTGATGAAAGACATCTCAGACTGGCACAGAAAGAGTTTGAATTTGCTTCTGAAAACCGGGACAGAGGAAGAAGATCACCTGTTTGAAATGGGCACGGGGGGCTGGGTGCTGGTGGCAGTGCCAGGCTGAGACAAATCCCCAGGCTCACAGCAGAGGAGAAGGGTGCACGGGAGGATTTCCATAAGGGATTTCTCCTGGGGTACCATCTCCAGCAGCTGGGCAGGCACAGGAGAGCCTGGCAGGTGAGACAGGGCAGGATCTGCTTGGGGCCACTGCTGCCCCAGCCTGTTCCGCGGGGAGCTGCCAAGGGGCAGGGGGGCACAGCCAGCCTCTGCTTTCTGGAGTGCTCCAGAGGCACTGGCAGCAGGAGAATCTGCAGTGAGACCAAGCTGGGGGCCGCACAGTGCTTGGTTTCTGCCCTTCTTGGTGTGCGCTGGGGCCAGAGAGGAAACTCCCCATCAGAGCCGGGCCCTGCTCCCAGCCCAGCCCAGGCACCGCTGCAGGGCACACAAAGGCATTGAGTGTGAAGGCCAGGAAGCCCCAGGATGTAAACGCTGCCCTGGAGCCAGCAGATGCCATCTCTTCACTGCAGGGCGATCTCGGGGCGCTCTCAGGGACAGAGGCTGGGGGGCAATGCCAGGGCTCGCCGTTCCCCTCTCGGGATGCAGCTCTGGGAAAGCCAGGGCAGAGCAGAGAAGGGGAAATGCTGCAGGGGAGCAACAGCAGCTGCTGCTATGGCCCAGGCTGCCTGGCCCGGAGCTAGGGGCTGCTGCTACTAAGAAGGTTCATTTTGGCTTTAATCTCATTAAAAGAATTAATAACTATCAGCTGTCTCAGTTTGGGCTCACCACAATTCCTTCAGGCAAGATCCCCAGCTGATATTAAGGGATGCAACACGGTGAGTGGAAGAACCTCTGGAGAATCAGAATTTTCAGGAGTATTGTGAGGGAGTCTTGTCTCAGAGGGTGGCAATCCAGGATGTGGTCACGAGCAGGACACTTTCCCAGGGCAGAGGGTACAAAACCAGTTCCTAAAAGGAGCAAACTGGGGGAGATCAGCAAATTTCTGCTGGATTTGAATGTGTCTCAGCTGGTGCTGGAGCCAGTGAAAAGCCTGGACCATGTTCTTCCAAAGGCAGAAGGAGTCCATCAGGGAGAGAGGAGGGATTTAAATTAGAAATTAGCATTGCCTAGCAGTGAATTTGGCCCTTCACAGGAAAGGGGCAGGAGGGCCGTGGGGATGGAAGGAAAGGACGCCATTTTTAGCGAGGAAAGAAGATGCCTCTGTCACAGCTCCTATTACAGCAATCCTCTCACTCAGGCCTGCCCCATCCTGACCCATTGCAGTGGCTCCCAGATCCATCTTTGTCCTTACTTCAGCCTCTTTCCTCAAGCCTCCTCTTCAGCATCTCCTCACCACCACCACGGACGTGCTTTGGCCACCTGGGGGAAGCTGTGCAGATCCTGCCTCCTGTCCCCTGCTGGGGACAAACACCTGGCAGACAGCGACCCTCGGCTCCACAGAGCCTCCTCTGAGCATCCAGGAACACAGAAATACACACACAGATACAGGGGCACCCCTGGGACACAGCTGGGGCCGGGGCAGTCACTGCTCCAGGGCCAAAGGGCTGCTCAGAGGGGACCCCCAGCAGGGTGATGCCACCCCAGGCTGGGCACCCCTCCTGGCACGGCAGCCAAGGCTCCGGCGCCCGCGGCGCTGGGACGGTGCTTTGATTCCTGAGATTCCTTTTAAGGTTGTTAAAAAAAACAACACCGTGAGGCACCAGGAGCTGCCTGGCTGACCCAGCCATGGAGATTCCACCAGCGCTTTCAACCACAAGCCCCTTTAGGACTGGCAGTGGGGCGTTATCTTATCACGGTAAAATGTAGCTAAGAAATCAAGGAGGGGGAGGAGTGTTTGCTGGTTTTGCAGGGCGGAAGCGATATTTAGTGTCATTGATGAGATTTTCCTAAAAATCCCAAATCTTGTGGCTTCATTGCTCTTGTCACTCCTGCTCGATGTCTCTGTGACATCCCAGCCAGGCTGTACATGGAGTCGTGATGTGAGGAAAGGCACTGATGTCACAGGCTTATCAGGACAGACGGGTTTCACCGGGAGCGGGTGATTTCAGGAACAGGTGATTTCACCGGGAATTCCGATTTCCCCGGGAACGCTGGGCAGGGCAGCGTGGGCTCCATGCCGGCGGCTCCGGGGT